ATTCCAGTATAGACTAAGATCCCACCGCGTAATCGTACAGGTGTCTGCTTTTTCATGAATTCATTTTGAATGAATTTGGAAAGAAGGATAGAATAAATCACCTGAAAATAAGTAGGTATATTGTGTAACAACATTGTAACTCGTGTGTGTGTTATATATTGTCAATTCTGCAACTTCGACGAAATAGATGGTGCATAGCTTAATATATATCGCGTTTTAGACTGGTAATGTATTTTATTTAAAAGATGTGCATATTATGTATTATTTCAAACTCGAAAACTAAGAGTTGCCTGACAGCCATTTGTGGAATCGACTATTAACATTTGTTTGACTATTCAATATTTTCCCAATATTAATTTAGAGTAAATTTCATAAAAAGATCTGCAATATAAGCGGTTAGATCTCGTACTATTAGGAAATTACAGCTCGATTGATATTTTATTGAAATGGGCGTGGTAAATGGATTTATTTTGCAATAAAATTTACGCTTTCGGTGTTAAATTGTTGGCAGTAATAGTAGAGACCTACTTAGTAGATTCATTAGTTTAAATGATTTCTTGGTCCAGTCGAACTATGATCAGCAAGTTACTAACGCTAAACGCGTGCAAAGTTGTAAAATGTTAATCCACTTTTCGGTTTTAGTCCGTGGATTTCCGATTGTCGGAAGCAAATTACGTGGAATGGAGATTTCTTCATGCCATCAAGAGAACCCCATGCTACTCTATCTTCCTCCGTTCGCCTTGGAGAGTAAATGTGTCTTGTTAGTGGGATATGGGGCAATCATTTTTACATGTAGGGGTTTAGAATCTATTTACATTGAAAAAAATATACACGGACGGGACTTGAACCAGTATCTACATTGTTCCAGTCTGCTATAACCAATTGGCCCGCCGTGCCTTACACGTCATCATTGAATTTAAATTCATTGATACATTGTTTGATAGCTAGTTTAGCCAGCACATAATACTATAACACGCGAAGATTTCTGGATGATAGTTCTGTGTCTTGCCCGACCGAAATTATTACGTTTCAAACCGATTCATATACTTATCAAGAACATTTAGTATTTGTTGCTAAAAATCAATTTCGAGATGTTCACTGTATTTACATTCATAAGTGTACCTACGGTAATAAGGAAATTTAGATTTTTTTTTAATTCTATATATTCGTTCGCGTAGAAGATTTATTTTACACGTCGTCGGTCGCGTCCCTTCCCGTCGCTCTCTAAGATATTTTAAGAATCTTGAATAGAGCGACGAATTTTTTTTTAGATCATTTAAGAGGAATCAGTCTCCCATAAATATTTGGGTATCTTGAACCGTTATTGCAGCGTACGCCTCGGAATCCCATGATGATGAAAGATTTTCCCGCTGTATCTTCGCTTCCATTAGTCACAGCGCGATGTTTTATAATAGTATAGTAGCCTATAGCCATTTTTCAATTCGAACCCGTACTTCCTGAGATTAGCACGGTCAAAGAAATAAACAAACTCTTCAGCTTTATATATAAGTATAGATAATGGAAAAACACTTCGTATTTCAACCAGAATGAGATACAAACATCTTGCGGCATCTGGCCAGTTATGAAATCTAATCACTGCGTCTAGAATATCTAGGTAAACCGCGAGTCGACCCGGTTCGTGATAAAATTTAAAACATCTTTTATTAGCTGCACTTTTGCTATTGAACAGCTTCTTAGCTTTTGGGTTAATGGAGGTCGTGTAAGAGACTCATCTGCTACATTGATACTACAGAAAAACGTGTATATAAAAACCTTCCTCTTGAATCACTCTATCGATTAAAAAAACTGCAGCAAAATGCATTGCGTAGTTTTAGAGATTCAAGCGCACACAGGGACAGAAAGAGTGACTATTTTACTAGCTGTGTCACCGACTTCGTCCGCGTAGAATAATTATTTTGGGCATCCGAATTTGTTTTTGCAAACCTCTACATCTTTATAAATTAAAGCTGCCCACGACATCGACAGCGTCCCGTCGTTTTTGCAATTTAATCTTAAATGATAGACGCATAGTGTCGTGGATTTTTTTTAGATCATTTAAAGAGGAATCATGCTTTCATAAATATTTTGTGGATGTCTTGAACCGTTTTCGTAGTGTACGCATCTAAAACCCACAGAGATGAAAAATTTTCCAGTTTTGTTCACATTTCCCGCTGTATTTTCGCTCCTATTCGTCACAGCGCAATGTTTCATAGCCTATAGCTTTCCTCAATAAATGTTCTACCAACACAAATTTCTTCACTTCAATTAGGACCCGTAGTTCCTGAGATTAGCGCGTTCAAACATACAAACTCTCCAGCTTCATATATTAGTATAGATTATGTAGTGATGTACTATACTCATTAAAGTTGCATGAGATCTGAAATTGTGTCGTAGGACGCAAATGAAAGCCAATGTTGAAACTAAACGTTTATTAAAGTTCAATGCCTAAGTATTACTAAACTACTATTTACAAAACACCTAAATGCGAAAGGAATGTTTGAAGAGAATATGAAATAGATTAACTAACAACAGTATTACTACCGCCATTATAACTTAAATCGACAAGTAGGTGATATTTAAATTGTGTTGCTTTCATGGCCATCGTTCGGCATTTCATGCGGACGGCATCATCAGATGTTAACTCCTCGATTGCTCGAAGAATTAAACCGTCCGCACGCGATGGCGATACATCGATAACCTCTTCTCGCTCATGTCGTTCGAACAGCCCGAGAAAAAAATGATATGCTAGCTGATATTTATACAAAATTTTAAGATAATTTAAAATTTTATCATTTTCTGTCTGGTGCTATCATTTTCTGTCAAGTCTTTTCACAATTATATAATTAAAACTACCAGTTCTATACAAAATAGATGGATATTGAGAACTAAAACAATACATATTTATACACTTAGTAATTCGACCAAAACTATATTCTTGGTAACGTATCTTTTTCTAAAGTATTCGTGGCTATACATTGCTCTGCATTCGTTATAGTCGTTCGCGTGCCGTTAGCATCGCGCTAATGTCGCAGCGACGTTACTCTTGATAATAGCGATTTTTTTTCGAATTAATGACTGATTTCAACGTTTTGTGCTATATCTGTACAAACCACAGACCTAATATAAATAGAAATATTCTTACACGTAATGTCAAAACTCGTCTACATTATTTAGTAGGTAGTCAGACAATTTTTGCTATAAACCGCCTTAGTTATATTAAGAGAGTTGAAAATGTTCGTATAAAGATAATTTTTATTGATACATTCAGAACCGAAACGGCATATATTCTATTTTACTACGGAAGGTATATGTGTATTACCGCAATCTATTTTACAATAAGAAAGAAAATAGGTGGGTAGTTTACAAAACGATATCCTAAGCGCCACTTCGAATTGACTATCATTCTTATAATTAATATTAAATAAATATAAAGACAGACAATTCGAGGCAAATAAATATTTAACTTACGACTAGACAGGTACTAAAAAGTGAATACTCATCAACTTACGAGTACTACAAAAAAAAAATCAAGTATTAAACAAAAATATATCGAAAATTGTTGACATTTGTAAAAAAACAATATTGAACCAGTTTAAATGGTAATGTTCAATACATTATAATTACTTGTATTTCTACAGACGTAGTGTCGTAGTTTAAACACTACCTTAATATTTTTCGCGTTTAAACTCGTTTAGTTGGTTTTATTTAATGTATAGTACTTGCGTAAGATTGCTTCATTAAATTTCTATTATACACCCCTTTTTCACACTTCTTTGCGTTCATAATATACAAACATACACTTTGAAATTTTAAATTCATTCGTACACTATGTATAATATCTGTTGATCTTCGCGTCGCATAAGTAGACAAAAAATAAGAAACATTATTTTGTAAGACAGTTGACTTTTCATTAGATATTATTCGTCAATTTCAAATCACTGGACAATGTATAAACAAAACTTTTTTATTTTTTAACTTAAAATTAGCTGATATTGAATAAAAATAAATATAGCGGAAAAAGCTTATTTACACAATATGGTATAACAGTTTTAACGGTTCAAAACGAGAAATATTTAAATGTGCAGCGGCCGTGGCCACTTTAGGCAATTTAAATTTGTACATTCTTAATTCACATTATTCTTTTCTTGAAAACCTTTTATTAGGTATTAATTTTGACATTAAAACACCCTCCAATATAAGTCCCTCCGTGACCACGGCTGTTGCATCCATCTGAAGTCGTAGTTAACAAAAAATTATACATTTCGCGTTTTAAACCGTTTAAAGGTATACTACTCGCGTAAACTACAGATAGTACTTATTTACATATAAATCTCATTTCTCTTGATTTCTACAGTTTATTTCGATACACACATTACCAATACTTACGAACAATGTATTGTCGATATTTTGAAAACCATCTATGTTTGAATAAAAAATCGATTTAGAATGAAAAAAAATTACTACAAAGCCGGGACCGGCAACCACAGCGTTCCGTTGTAACCAATTGAGCCACTGCGTCATCGTCAACTTATGTCAACCTAATAATACCACCGCATCTATATTTAAATAAAACACTTTTAACTGTTCATAGCGCGATATACATTACTTAAATAGTTTTTAACTTAAAAGTGTATTAATTAAATGATTTACTATTCGCGTTAACTAAAGGCAATACTCAACCGTCTATAGTCAAAACACTTGTGGGACTTAGTTAAACGGTAACATAGTTCGGAAAGAACAAAATGAAATACTTTTGAACTTTTGTTTACCCTTCAAAATGTTTTGTTTTGAAGGGTAAACAGCGTCGTTACGTAACGCGTTACCACGCTAATCTATCCGGCTTCTATTTTTCTAATTAGTTCAGATATTCGTTATCGTTTCATTGTCTTGTGGCTCCAATCTTTAATTAAAATCACATTCACATAACGTGGAGTCTGCGCCAAGTGGCGTTTTAAACATTTGTGGAGTCTGCGCCAAGTAGCGTTTTAAACATTTGTGGGTTATGGTACCACCACTCTAGGCTCGTGGGAGAGGAGCCGTCGTACGGATTGGTGGTTGTTACCGTCGCTGCTGGATATATCGCTGGTGCTGACAACGGAGGATCGGGAGAAATTTTTGCAGAGGACCAGTACCTGTGGGCGAGAGAACCATCAAATAAACAACAATCAATTTTTTAATAGAGGAGGTCACTTGATCGTACGGTGTTTGACAAGCTTGTTGCTCTAATGGTAGTTTGGCTATTAATCAATGGGTCTCCTCTGTCATAAAAAAGAGGGAGAAGGGGGGGTGTGTGTTTTTTTTTTTGCTGCATCAAGTTTATTTAAATAAAACACTTTAACGGTTTAAAAGGCGTATATTCTAAACTTATTTGAAAATGATTTTTAACCGTTAGTGTTTTATATAAATGTGTACTTCGCCAAACAATAACAGTATTTGTATCAAGTTTATCAAAAATTATTAAAGAATTACATTACTCACAGTATACAGAACACTGCAGAAGCCCATAACCGCTCCAGCCAGTACATCCCACCAGTGGTGTCTCCTGTCAGTTATCCTCGTGAGAGGACAGGTCACCGCGTAAATGATGCAGAGGATCTGCACCAGGGGCACGATGAGGACGGAACGATTGTGCCAGCTGAATGCACGGCGTTGGAGGACACTGTAAAAAAAATTATTTATCTACTATAAAGAAAATTATTTATATAAATATTTATTACTAGCTTAGCTAGGCTACCATCTGGCAAAAGTTCTTTTGGCATATGAAGTATTTAGACTAAAGATTGATTGCCAAAAATGGTTCTCGTAATTTAATCTTAAAACATAGATGACTGACGTGTACATTTTGTTTTAGATAATTTTATGAGTAACGATTCCTTTTGTGGGTAACTTAAACCGTTAACCCAGCGTACGCAACTGAAACCCACAAAAAATAAAGCACATTTAAAATTTCATTCAGGCTAAAAGGAATGGCATTTATCATCGAAGTCACGGCCACAGTGCAATGTGCTGTCGTGAAACAAAGACTAATCTTAGAAGAGTACAAATTTGTATATTTTATAAAAATGAAAATGTTTAACAATGTCCTCATATTTTTAAAGATTATTACCCACTTTTTTGGTGATGACAAACATTTCAATGAGTTTTTAAAACTTTTAACGGTTTAAAACATTAAACATATAAATTAACTTATTAACAAACAATGGCATAGCGAGAAACTAGAGGACCACCATGAGTCCGTGTTCAGTCCACCGTGACCACGACTGCTGCAAAGCATTTTCAGACCGTGGTGAAAATAAGAGAGAAAATAAAAGGTAAATAGTTTAATTAATACATTTCTCGTTTTAAGCCGTTTAAAGTGATTTATTTAACAGACATTTTAATTTCATGACTATATAATTGCACTTATCATCCCCCCAAATCATTGCATAATTCGTCCAGCATCCTCCTTCACGTCTAATTTGTGGGGGACAATCAATTTCGGTCCCCCTTCAGAAGAAATGATTGCACTCTTCAGCATAATTACAGCTATGGAGGGAAATTGCAACGTAATCGTTGGGGTGGAGCATCTTAGACGGATATCCGGGGTTGAAGACCCCATTATGTACACTTACACCAGATTGGTAGACTTCTTCAACTATAGTAGATCGGAGGGACTGATAATAATAATAAAAGAAGTAACATAACATTTCAAATAAAACAATTTTAACGGTTTAAAATGCGAAATATACTAGTTAAATTATTTATTACCCACGATCTACATTTCGGATGTAAAATGAACTTATTTATTTCGCATTTTAAACCGTTAAAATGTTTTATTCGAATTTCAAATATAAAAAACTACAGTCCGACGTTTTGGTTGCTTTGCAGCACGGGGGGGGCCCGTACATACGGCTGCATATGTTAAAAATAATTGATGAATATATTTCGCGTTTTAAATAGTTAAAGTGTTTTATTTCTACGAATACTGCTCGCGCAAGCCAGGGGGGGGGGGGGGGACATACCTTTGTGGCCTATATACGGCAATGTACACAAGTTTTTTGTTTCTTGATTATTATTATGGTGACTGATAATCCGTGTTTAACTGTACACGACCAGATTATCTTGTATTTACAACACATCATACCCAACCTCGTTCCAAACCCAAGCGATCGCAATATTCAAGGAACTCCAAAACATTTCCTAGAGTGTACTATGTTTTGCAGTTTTAGAATGCTGCGTCCGAATCCCGAGAAAATATAAGTTTGGGTATAGGCACATAAATCAACTGATCAATTTCGTGCTTATAAAATTCGATCATGGACACTAAATTGTACATGCTGTTGGGAATCTTTCACTTACCGCTAAGAACAAACCGCAGTAGACAGCAAGAGACGTGTGTGCTGATGGAAAACTTCTGCTGGCGTCGATCTGGAGGTACCTGGAGTAACGCGTTGACGTGCAGGTGTAACTCGTTACGTATTCAGAGCTGGGGGGAGAGTTTTATATTATTCTTTTGATTTCCGTGGTAAAATGATGGGGTACAAATAAAAATTTGGATGATCTAGGCAACGACCAAGGCTTGAACTGGGTCCTCAAGGTGCCGTGCTGCTGCTGTAACCAATAGAGCTACAGTGTCTCAAACGTCATCATCGATTTTTGCAGCCCACTAATGTATGGACCTTTTTGCAATGTCATTTCAACCTTAATTCCTACGCATTAAGGTTCAATTCTTTATATTAATAATTTCTAAAGAAACACACTGATACGTAGAAATTACAGAGTTTAACGTTCTCAAGCTGTACAATTTTCAAATTGTTTTACTTAACAGCTTTAAATAAAATTCTTTTAACCATTTGAAATGCAAATGTCTCGTACTTATTTAAAATTTTAACTACGGGTGATTTGCAGCAGTCTCATGTTAAAGTAAGATATTAGGGACACTGTCCCGTTTTAAACTGTTAAAAGTGCTTTACATAAACAATCTATTGATGATCAATATTGATTATTACTAACTCAATCAACTTACTCGTTACAGGTGCTGGCTTTATCGGGTTCGCATAAGTCGAAGAAAGTGGGTCGCGGGGAGCCCACCACGCACTTCACTATCTCCATGATTGTCAGGTTAACAATCGCCCCGTAGATGTAATCGCGGTACATCAACGCTGAGGTTTGAGCACTTTCGTAAATTTTGCTCTTCTTGAGGGTGTACTCATCCTCTCTGTGTAGAGCCGCTTCCACTGCCCACATCTGCAAGAACATTATGGTTAAAAGATTCATTAAGGACCGGTGGTCTGATAAATTTTGTTAGTCAGTTTTTTAATTCTTATGCCGTCCTCCCCAAAGAAATTTGGGTGTTTTTAATTGTAATTATTCGTATCTCATTCTTGAAATGGATAGTTACTTTTGAAAGCATGTTTGGTTGTTAAAAGAACAAATAAAAGTAATTTTAACGATATAAAACGTGCTCATTATTAGCCGAGACGGAATTAAAAAAGTAGCAACTGCGTTTTACCTAGTGACAAGAGATTTGTCTTTTTTTTATGGCACTTCTGTCAAACAATGTCAAACATTTTAATAAGATTCGACCTATTATGGCTTTATCATCAGTTTTGCACTGCGGACACTTATGCAATTTCCTCGAATAATAAAACTTAAAAAAAAAAAACACTTCCAACGGTTTAAACGTTAGTTTAAACCCCCCCGTGACCACGGCAGCTGCAAAGCATCATCACCGTCGGATTATAGTTATATTATTAGAAATATATTTCATGCTTTAAACCATCAAATTTGTTTCATTTACATCATTTTGGACATCATCAATTATTTGGTTATTAAGTCAGAAGGATTACATATTACAATTCTAAAACGAATATTAATGACTGTTATTAAAGTTAGATGTACAACTAATGCCGATATAGGTCAGTGCACTGTAATTAAGATAACATGTTTTGTTTTTACTTGTTTGGGTACAGTTTTAGATGCTACTAAGGCGATTGGAAGAGTCGAGAGAAATCTTTCTTCAAGTTTTGTGGCAACGTACGTGTGAAATCCCGTCAGATTTCTGTCCCCCGTCTCCGACTGAAACAATTTACTGTTTCCCCGGGATTCGAACCCAGGATCTCTCAAGCTTAACGCAATGCCAGGTAGCACGTTTAACCATTTAGCTACAGAGGCCGTCGGTACAGGTAACTTATAGTGTTTATTTACTTAATTGTGACGCGCTGTTGGTCCAATGGTAGGCATGGAAAACAACGAGTCAATGGTTCCGATCCCCACCGAGTCCAACATGCTTCTAATCCAACTTTTTTTTTTTTTTTTTTTTTTTATAGTATCTCGGAAACATATTGGTTTTATTCGGTTAATAAAAGGCTGGTAGAAATATCGATAATTCCGTCCAGGTCACGAAACACTGTCCCCAGGTGAAGAAGCCGTGGAGTTATCTATTTTCATCTTAAAGAAATTTTTAAAGGTAATCTAACTCAGCCATATAACATGTAAGCAAAATGCACTATCGACCTGTCGACTGTGTGTGTGTATGTATTATAGTTTTGGACACACGGAAACTTACAAAGTGAAGTCGAAACGCGCTCACGGCTTTGTCATCTGTGGACGGTGGTTCCTGACACTGATAGAATGTTGATATTCCTACCAACAGTTTAATGTCATTTGATTTCTAGAAACAGTCCTGGTAGAAATCGAATCCATGACCGGTTACATTGCTACTAACTTCTTTTTAGCTTCGTGCTAGTTAATTGACTTAATTACTAGACGTGGTAAAAACTTACTATAATAAACGGTACGATAACTGTGATAGCAGCAACGAGGGAGATGGACATAGTGTCCCCTCTGTGGGGGAAAGAGAGGTCGGGATCATTGCATCTGAAGCCGCTCTGTCGACTTGGTAAGGCACCAACTTCCAGAAGTATGCATACTGCTGCAACTGTGAACAAAGGAAATTATTAACAAAAAAATATGTAAAAATATGTCTGTAGTTTACGCGGGTAGTACACATTTTAATACATTTAAACGGTATAAAACGCGAAATATATAAACATATTTGCAAAGCATCCGAAACGTCGAGCCATAGTTAAGATAAAGTAAATAAGTATAAATAATATATTTGCGTTTTAAACTTAAGTGTTTTATTTACATTGAAAAAATAAATGCCTAGCGTAAATCGAAATCCCGTAACCACCCGTGGGGCATGGGGCAAACACATTTCTGTATCTGACCGATTCTTTTACAGGCAACTAATTGATCAGATTTCTGTACCCTGCCCGAAACAAACCATTGTTTCACTGGGATTCAAACCCAGGGCCTCTTGCGCTCAATGCTAGGCAAAACATTTAAACATTTAGCGAAAGAAACGCCTTAAACTTAATCGTAAACAAGTTAACGCATATATTTCGCGTTTTAAACCGTTAATAGTGTTTTATTTCAATACCTGTTTTAATTAGGTGGCCTCGTTCCTTTTGAGAGTCTACTAAATAGTTATATAATATCCGATCCGCCTTTTAGAAGGGAAATGAGTTTTACATAATAATTATTGAATTAGAATGACAATATTACCTAAGACGTATGTGGGATGTATGTAATTAAATGTAATTGTCGTTTGAATATTAATAAGCTTTATATTACATGCTGGAAAAGGTGAAAGAGATTTTTATAGCAGCCGATAATTTTAATTTATACATAAGTAATTAAATATACTTTTCAATATTTTAAACTGAAATTATGACACGGGCGCGCTCGAAAGCTGTTGTCCAATATTAAAATATTGTTTTATAAATATATAAACGCGTTAAAATCGGTTTAAAATTATTTAAAAAGTATTTTTCGCGTCCAAATTCAATTGCTTATCTGAGCAATTTATTAGCTGAGCCCGCGACTTCGTCCGTGTGAAATGCTATGTTGGGCATCACGGCATTATTTATAACAACCTCGTCAGCTTTTCAAACTATAGCTGTTACCCACGACATCGTCATCGTCTTTGTGTGTCGTTCTTGCGAGTTAATCTTAAAAGTTAGACATTTACTGTTATAAACATTTTTTTAAATTATTCAAAGAAGAAGAAGGAGAATTTTTGGTATCTCGAGCCGCTTTCGCTGCGCACAAAGCAGATGCTCTCAAAGATTATTAATTTTCCCATTTTCCACTGTTTATTTGCTTTAATTAATCGCAGCATGTTATATAGCCTTACGCCCCCCATGATAAATGGTGCAACTAACATAAAAATAATTTTTCATTTCGTACCAATAGTTTCCTGAAACCGCGTTTAAACAAACTCTTCAGCTTTATAATATTATTATGAGCTCACGATATTGTCTGTCTCATAACATTTCGTCACAATTGGGGAAAATCTTACTAAACAGTTCCGATCGTCCTTGACAGACAGATAAGCAATTCTCACCGGTAAGTCCCAACTTTCATTTGTAATAAGGATATGTTAGGTAATAATCCTTGATAAAGTCTTACGAGATGTCACTGTCTCGTACATGTAGGAATATTTTGTTTGTATTTTATTGTAGTATTTCAGAATGTATGTAGAGATATATACAATCCCAATAATTTGAGTGTGGTCGGTATTTTTATAAACTTTGAACTTCATATTAATGTTCTTTAATATTATTATATATTTTTATCATCTCCTTATACATTAACATAAAACACTTTAATCGTTTAAAACGCGATATATTTTAGTTAAACTTATTTGAAAAGCATTTTTAACTACGGCCCGACGTTATACGATAATATTAGTATTTATAAATTTATAACAGGTGTCAAACTAGTAATGTATGACTTACATAGCCTATTGTTTGTCTTTATTTAACACTGGCCTATAAGTGCTAAGTACCACTGGGAACAACTTACTACTTCAACTCTAAACGCATTTAGTTCTAAAACAAAGAAAACGTAGGTACTTCCTATTTACATGTCTAACCGTTACAAACGAATGTAGAATTAGTTTCAAATGTGTGATGTCTCAAAAGAATTATGTATTCACTTTTTTTTCCTATAAGTAAACTTTAGTAACATACGATTTATTCTTATTCAAATAAACACTTCAACGGTTTAAAACGCGATACATATTAGTTAAACTTTTTGAAAATCATTTTTACTTCGGTCTGACGTTTCGGATGCTTTGCAGCAGCCGTGGTCACGGGGAGACATCGTGTCCACGGCTGCTTTAAAGTTTAACTAATAATGTAATAATAATTCAGTGTTTTATTAAATGAGTAGGTACTATTCGCGTAAACTACAGACAGTATTTAATTCATTCTTCCTTCGGATTCGAACCAGGGATTTTTAACTTAAAACCTAAGTTAGCAGAAGTTCTTTATTAATTTTAACAACATATGAAACTGGATAAATCCCGTTTCTCCCAAAGGGGAATTATTTTCTATGTCTGTCATCAATTCTGTACGCGAGTGTTGATCCGGTTTCCGTGTGCTGCCCGACCGAGAAACAAGTTATCCCAGGATTCGAATCTGGGAGTTAACGTAATGATAGAAAACGCAGTCCTTAAATAAGCTATAACAACATCGAAAGTTTGTATTCGAAGGTATATAAGAAGTAAATGAATCTTTTGAATAGTTTAAAACGCGTATACGATAATCCGAAACGTCGTTCCGAATGCCACGTAGCCACGGTTGTGTGGTTATTTAACAAATAGAAGTCGTGTTTTTAACCGTTATTTAATGTGTATCGCTAGCAGATATAACTAAATACATAGATTCAAGACAGCTATACATTTCCGGCTCCTGCAGCACGCTTCTATAGATGGATACGTAAATTTCCCTTCGCCAAACAATTCTTGAATCCACAGATTATAAAACAAATGTTGTCTTAGGCGTCACGGGTATCGAAGACCAAATAGCCATTATTAAACGTTTTACCTTCGTTCAAACAAAGACAGGTTTTGTAAGCGTGAATGAGGCTTTAGTCAACAAACACGACACATCCGGACTGCATTTCTCATTTATGTGCAATATTTACAAATTAAACAATTCAATGCATCAGTGTTCCGCCTGCGTGGCTGTTTTTTGTCAAAGGTTCAAATACTGGTCAAAAAGGTTTTATGTGTATCTGTACTTAGAAGTAACTTGAAGTTTACGCGAGTAGTAAGTAAATAGAATAGAACTTTATTCGGAAGCTTTAAAAAATATTAACAAACATGAAATAACAATAAAATATAAAAAGTATTTAAATAGCAAAAATTTACGGTTTAAAACACGATTTATATTAGTTAAGTAATTTTTACTACTACGTATGCTTTGCAGCAGTCATGGTCACGACTGTTAGGTTTTTTTTAACGATACATGTGTTAAATGAAGTTCGTAGTAACAAAGAGTATCAAAATACTGAACTTCTTTCGAGAGTCAAACGGACATAGAAATGTGTCTTATTAGTAGGAGTGATTTTCAATAAGAATTATTGTGTATTTCCATGTTTTTTAAATTCGTTTTTATAGTGGTAATAGAGATAAACAATTTCAACCGATTTGCATTTCTTAAAATACAACAGCGTTTTCCAAAACCGCTTCTAACTGTTTCAAATTTAATGCCAAGCATCCGAAACGTTAGGCCGTAGTTAAAGTAAATTAAAAAGAAGTTAATAAATATATTTCGCATTTTAACTAGTTTTTATTGTTTTATTTAATTGTGTACGCATGTAGACTACAGACATTTCTTCTGCGGAACATAAAAAATAGCATTTGAAAACTTATTAATTTTTACATGTACTATATAATTTAAAAATCGAAAATTTTTTTTAAATTTATTTTTGATTTTTAAATTAAATAACGCCTTTTTTACACGTACATAGTTTACTTCAAAAAAAAGGAATAGCAATTAATTCATTAATGTAGTTAGGTTTAATTTCCCGGCTGTATCGTACTTTTTTAAATATAATACATTTTAAATTTTAATATGTATTAAATTTATTACTGAATTCATGTCTATTTGATGCGAATTTAAAAATTTTCGTAGTTTAGTTTAAACTACTCTCTGTTTGTTTAAATGTAATTTTCAATGTTGCGCCAAAATCTATATAAATATAACTTCGATGCATTGAAATCGACCGTGTGTTTACAAACTGCAGTATAAGTGCTCAATTCTGCAACAAGCACGGACCCACTGCCCTATATACGCGATTGTATCCTGACAATATTAACAACGGATGGACTGAACATCACACTATACAATAATATCGATAACTAGTGAGAACCGTTGGTAACATCACTATTTTATTTACATTTTTCTCTTGATACAAGACGAACAAGCATTCGAGAAAACATGATAATATCTTAACAAGATGTGCTTAACAAGATCTACCTATTTTGAATTTGGAACGCGATTAAAAATAATGGCTTTTTTGACATAGTTGGTATTTGGAGAAATAGATGGCGCTAGCGTAGCATATTTTACTTTGATATTAGAGACACTGTCGATCTTTAGTCCCCCCGTGACTATGGCTGTTGCAAATCATCCGAAACGTTAGGCCGAAGTTGAAATGGATAATAAAAATAAGTTAACTAATATATTTCACGTTTTAAACCGTTATAAGTGTTTTATTTCAATGTGTATTACCCGAGTAAACTGCAGACAATAATTCATATGATACAAAAATTGTCTGACATTGTCTAGAGATAAAAAATAAATAATAATACATGGTTTGCAAAAATAAATAAAGAATAAAAATACAGTGTAAACTCTATATAGCGACCCCGGGGGGACTGTGTTTTTTTTGGGGGTTTTGGGGGGTTGTTTTTTGGGGGGGGGGGGAAACCTTTTTGGAAAAAAAACCCCCCCCCCCCCCCCCCCCCCCCCCTCCCGGGCGGGGGGGGGTGTTTTTTTTTTTTTTTTTGTTTTTTGGGTTTTTCCCCTGTATATAAAGGGTGGTATTGAATAAAAGCATCTTGTTTAAATGTTTGGTCTATTA